TATTGTGGTGAAAATGACCTCCCAGGAGGAAAGTAGCCTGTACCGCGGGATTTCGGAGATGATAAAGCGGGTGGTCGGGGGACGCCTGGTTGTTTACTAAGCAGAGCGCCCGGCACAAGACTGGGGTACTTGTGTCAGGAGGTGTGAACTTGGATCTAGACTACGAGCCTATGTTGGAGGCGCTATTTAGCGTCGGTGAGCCGGCAAAAGAACTGAAAGGAACCACAACCCCCGCCGGACACTCGGATTGGGAAGGCCGAGTATTCCGTATACCTTCCTGAAAAAACACGAAAAACAAGTGGCCACGGTCCAGTTGCCGTAGAGATCATGAGGATGGTGAAGAAGCTTGGAGGATGGAAGCAGAAACTGTGGAAGGGAGACAAGTTGGAGCTGCTGGTGTTTGGGATTCCAAGGGACATGACGAGGATAGAGTTCAAGAACTGTTGTGACAGGGAGGGACTGCACTGCCTAGCAAGGGGACAAGTAGGCAGAGAGCATGAACACTTCCGGGTGAAATTGACCAAGGGAGACAGCCAAGAGTGCTTGGGGGTTGACATCGAGAAGCCGTCGAACTACGTAAGGAAGTTTGGATGGATGGTTTGCCTCGCGAACATGATAGAAACAGAGAAGGTAAGGAGACAGGAGGCGAGGGCGACGGAGGCGAAGAAAGGACCAAGCGGGGGAGGCGAGCAGGCAAGTCAGACGAACGCCGAGAAGAAGCGGAAGGCGAACGATAGAGTGCGCAAAATCTCCAATAGGGAAAAGCACAAGTTGAGAGTCGGGTCGTGGAACGTGTGCGGGTTCGCAAGGAGTGAGCGCAAGCGGTTGGAAATAGTGGACCAAGTAGAACAAAGCGATCTAGATGTAGTGGGGATCCGAGAGACGTGGGAATTGAAGGATGGGGACGTGGTAATGCGAAGGTGAGCCGAATCAGGTAAAAGTCAATCGACGGATACCCTGCGAATCGGGTCCTCCTTAACACAACGCTGCGCGTGAAATCACAATGGGTTTCGAATCCATACCCTTAACCACTCGGGCACGCTGACGCCACATGCGAAGGTGTACCGATTCAGGTAAAAGTCAATCAACGGTTACCCTGCGAATCGGGTCCTCCTCAACAGTAAGCAAACTAAGGAAATACCGGTGGGTAGGGAAGGCAAGAAAGGGCTAGACCCGTAGACCCGAAGAGAAGGGGGGAGGGGGGAGTCGGATTCTTGGTCAAGGAACACTTTTGTTACGGTTCGAGACATTCATCGTCCCGCAAGTACACCCCCACCGAGGTAGTTGGCCGCATTCTGCGGAGCCTCTGCAAGAGCTGTCCGGACTCGCCCTCCTCTGCTCACAACCAAGCTACCATCCTGAGCTTGAACTAAAAGAATAAGACCATCACATCCACAAGGAGGCCTTTGCTCCGACGCTACATCGGCTACTACAGCTGGTACCGGTACCTGGTGCCGTGAACGGGAGCTGTGACGTACTTACTGCTTACACTTGAGACCTCTCTACCCTGCGTGCTAGCGACTCGTGACACTTTATTATGGATATTGCGGTGTTTCCCCGTAAAAACTCCCCCCAAAATCGTGCTCTCGGCGGTGTAAAAAAATAGTGCGTGCCGGTTGGAAATTGTGCTCTCGCCCGGCGGGAACTCAAAACGCACCCCTTGTGCCGGTTGTGTCGGTTCGAGCCCCCCCCCCCCCGCCCAAGTAAAACGTTTGGACACGTGGCCCCAGGCCCCCTCGGGCACCTCGTCAAAATTGCTTGCCACTCACTCAAGCCTTGCTGCAATTAATTGCTGTGGTGGCGGCTGCGCGCGACACAAACTTATGGCGCGACTGAACCGCGGGAGAGTGCGCTACGGGCGATATCAGTCATGCTCGCAAATGACCCTCCTAGCTTCGATTGGTGTCGTAGCTGGGGAAGAGGATCTGTGCATGCTGTGGTGTGTCTGCTGCTTGTATGAGTGGCGTCGGTATCATGAGCTACTTGCCCCGACCACGCTTGAAGGCGTGTTTCCGAACCTCAACTTCTTCGAAGCTATCGGGGGCTTTGACTTCAAGGAGGTATTTCGCTTCGAGAAACCGCATTTCTTGCAGCTTCTACGAAGGCTGGAGCTTCCGGACAGCTCCGAAGTTTCGAGGTGAGCATGTGGCACGGAGAGTCGCAACACAGCACAAGTGGTCGCCATATCCTTAGGGAAGGGCGGGGTTAGAGGCTGCACGCTACATGTAGATACGACTTGGGGCTTCTTTCTGGGCTGCAGCAGTCCTGGAGATGCGCCCTGAATCCGACAGGTAGGCTTGTTGCTGGTGTTGTCCCGCTGTTCGAAAAAAAAACACGCGTACACACATACCTCAGGCAGGAACCGCAGGAGGGGGTCCAGCCCCCCCCTCCTATGTGATCCCGTTTGGGTCGTCTAGCTATTATATATATTAATAGTAGAAGTGGAGGATAGGGGCCAGAGGGGCAGACGACAGAGTCCAATGATGGGAGAAAAAACAACAAAACATAAGTCTACACGAATTAAAAATATATGCGCAGACGAGCGAGGTCACGAACACACGTAGCACCAACGCACGCTTCTCTAGAGCAGGAAGAAGGTGTTAGACTTGCCAAATCCGATAGCCCTTTTGGCGGCGGCAGCGGAGGGTTACGTCTAACCATCATGACCATGCTGTATCTTGAGGGAACTTATTGCTGTTGCGCTCGTAGTACGCAACAGCGAGTGAGGATCGCGCACCTGCTAATGTACAGCGCATCAAGTAAGGTAGCGGTACCTTTGAAGAACGTGCTTTACGGTGGTCGTTGTTTTATGTACACCGATTTTCTTCACGTCTGATTAGAAACCGTGGAGCCACGTCTCGCTGTTAGTCCTAAAGCCTGCCTTACCCCTCCACCATTGTGTCCTCCCGTCACAACCGCTCGTTCGTGGTATCAGAGGGGGGTATGGCGTGACGAGGGTGCCAGCGGATGTTGCCCTCGCCCTGACACTGCTATGGAGGCTGTCCGCACCGACCACCTTGGTCCGGGATAGATCATTCTTGGGCATGTCCGAGACGCTGATTTGCGAGGTGTTCAACCTTACGATAGAGGCGATTTACGAGCGTTGGGGGCATTTGGTGGAGCACTTGCAGGTTGATGCTATTCTCCCGAAGATCGATACATTTTGTGAGGCCATTCACGCCAAGGGGGCACCGCTCCCACGTTGTTGTTTTTTTTTAGATGGTACTATTCGTAAGATTGCTCGACCTGTTCGTTGGCAGCGTATCTATTATAATGGTTGGAAGTGTGTCCACGCCTTGAAATACCAGGCGGTTGATTCGCCGGACGGCATAATCAGGCAACTCTGGGGCCCCACGGTAGGGCGTAGGCACGATGTGACGTTGCTTGGACAGAGTGCACTCTTAAGCGTTTGAGAGCAGTCGTTCAATGACGAGATGGGNTCCCGAAGATCGATACATTTTGTGAGGCCATTCACGCCAAGGGGGCACCGCTCCCACGTTGTTGTTTTTTTTTAGATGGTACTATTCGTAAGATTGCTCGACCTGTTCGTTGGCAGCGTATCTATTATAATGGTTGGAAGTGTGTCCACGCCTTGAAATACCAGGCGGTTGATTCGCCGGACGGCATAACGAGCGGTTGTAACCGGAGGACACCATGGTGGAGGGGTAGGGCAGGCTTTAGTACTTACAGCGAGAGGTGGCTCCACGGTTTCTAATCAGACGTGTAGAAAATCGGTGTGCATANAAGCAGTACAAGGTAGCTGGCATCCTGACGAACTGCCAATGCTGCTTCTGCCCCAACCAAACGTCGACGTTCTTTGGTGTGCCTCCACCCCCTCTCCGCGCCTACCTTGTTGAAGAGGGTTGAAGGGGTTCTTACGTGTGTGTGTGTATGGTGTCTGCCGGACTACGTGATCGAATGTTTGCGACTGCATGGCGTTATGTTGGTTTTGCGATGCTATGGAACAAAGTGCATGGCCATCACCCGGTTTGTCCCCGAGCCTTCCGCTCGCGGCTATTCGCTCTTGTTGCAGCGAAAGAGGTGTTTCAACAATCCGTGCGTTTACATTCCTCTTACGGTACATATCGTCATGTCCGGGGGGACGCAAATGCGCGCCAAATTTACATATATATTCGGAATACTGCACATAGCGCACCCTCGCACAAGTGCGTTGAGGGAGGTGGTATTTCCCAAATCTCTAGCCCCTATTAAGGGGTGTTGTAGAGCCGACTGACTCGGTTTACTGTTTAAATGTGTGTTTCCTCGCAGATGGAGAGAGAGAGAGAAGAAAGGGGTGGCCCCAAAGATCCGAAAGGAAACGGGGACTTTGCACAATCACCGAAAGTCTCCCACCACATATCCTCTAGGCATCTCCCAACTCACGCAACAGCAACTTTGGACTGTCTAATTCCCTTGATTGTTTATGCCAGTGACTCACCACTCGCGCATAGAAATAAGTCCGCCAAGGACCGAAACACAGCCACAACACAAGAAGCAAAAAAAAACAGGGGAAACCCGGCCACGGAATCAAAACCCCTCAGAAATCCGACGCCATCACGCCGTCATCATCACGAATGGTTCAAACGGCTGTTCTGCCACAGGAAGACAACGCGTATCCAACTCACGGTTCGCCTAACACGCCAAACGATACGTGAATCGTAACGACCCTTCCTTGTGCAGCAAAAATACAAAAACGCCCGGACGCACCCCCCCCGGGCGGTGATGTGCAAAGAACTCTTTGTTGGCACCGACAACGTAGCCAGATGAACAAATCAAAAGGCAATAGAGATACAAACACACAAGGGATGGGGAGAATGACGTGCCTAGGATAGCAGAAACTCTCTGCATCGTCCCATCATGCATCGAAAGAAATGAAAAGAAAATAAACGAAAAGTTTCCCGAGAGTTGGGCACAACAATAATCGGAAAAGACATACTAAAAATACAATTGTCGCCCGAGTCCAACACTCTTCACCGACCTGGACAAGAAAAAAAAAACGGTCACACCGATGAAAACAACAAAAAAAACGCGCCCGAATACATTTTCCAGCGAGCTGCAAAAAAAACACGCGAAAAACAAAAGCGCATCCGGCGCCAGCGACAGGTGGTGTCGATAGCAGGTACATTGGAGGGTGGTCGCTGAAAAGAAAACGAGAAAACAACGGTCAGTCCATGCGACCCCTTCTCGCCGACAACGATTACTTGAGGCATGGAGAAGAAACGAACGGCACACGACGACACGAAGAAAAAAAAACACACACACATGCTTGGACACGACAATCCGCAATCAACCACGCCGCCGTACGCAACAAACCATGGAAGCGCGGGAGCTGCGCCCCTGACGGCGAAGGCATAATGGCGCAGACCCGACCCGCATTCCACTACCACGGTCGCGACAGCATCTTCGTCAAGGCTTCCATGGGGGCCTCGAAGCTAACCCGCCAGACGGACGAGCTCCCAGGGGTGCAGCGGAGGATGACGACGCCCCGCGACCCGATAAACCCGCAAGGCGGACGTCGTCACTGCGGATTCGCCGTTCAGCTGGTGCCTGTCCGGTCACCCCTCCAACCTCGAGGCGCGCATTCGTCCGGGCCGCAGGCCCAAGTCCTTCGCCTGGGCCGTCAACCCCGACTGCGGCGGGACGAGAAGAAGTGCCCGAAACTACCGCCGAGGCGGCAGCTGGGGTCGGTGCCGGAGGCGTAGATCCCCTACCGTTGGAATACTTCCCCGTCCCCCTGGGGGCGGGGAACGCAGGAGCAGGAGCGGCGGGGGACGCAGGAGCAGGAGCCGCGGGGAACGAAGGGGCAAAGGTTGGTGCAGCCGCCGCCGCCCCTCCGGCAAACCTCTCGAACACGCCCAACATTTGGTCCAGCCGTTGCTCGATACCTCGAAACCTCTGATCCAAGGCCCCAACCCCGGCTTCGACGGTGGCGATTCGCTGGTGCATGCTGGATGATACCTCCTGTTCCTGCTGGGGTATAGGTGGCTGCTGCTGCTGTTGCTGCTGTTGCTGAGGCTGCTGCTGCTGCTGCTGCGGCGGCGGGTTGGCGCCGTCGCTCCCGATCCACTCGCACATTGTGCCCTTTCCTTCTCCTCCTCCCTTGCCATCTTCCTCACCATGTAACCCGCGAGGGTCTTCACCAACTCCCCCCCCCCGGCATCCTCCGACTCATACGACCTGGGCGAGCGACGCGCTGACCTCACCTGCCTCCCGAGGTTGCCGGACGCCACGGCCTTCCCTACGGCGTCCCTGCGCGTTTGCTCCTTTGCTGAGCAGCGCCCGTCGTCCTCGCCCTCGATGACGACGTCGTCGTCATCGTCCGAGTCTGCCTCTTCTTCTCCGCCCCCACTCTCTCCCAAGACGCCGTCCGAGCCCAACGAGGCTAAGCCGGCATGGAGGGGTTCCCCTCGCGACTTCCGCTTCCGCTTACCTAACCCTCCCCTAGCACCGCGCTCTCAGCAGCAGTCCCCGTTGCCGACTTCTTCCCCTTCGCTTTGACATTTTCAAGGGCCTTCTTCCGCGCTCGTTCGGCCCGATGTTGGTGCTCCGCGCTCACCCCCTTCCCTCCGTTTACCACATCTTTGCACGATTCGTACAGACGGACAGCGGTCTCCAGAGCTATCATCTGCGACCGCAAGCGCACGCACAGCAACGATGACATGTTCGGTCTAGTCCGTAATTACCCGTCACCGTACAGGGAACGTTGCGAAACCAGACCGAATTCGGGCGGAAAAGTAGGGCAGAACTGTTTTCTTTACCTATGTAGCTCAACACTACATCGAACGGCCTATAAACAAAGCTTTCTCTGTGATGAATGTGCGTGTGTTTCTCTGCGGTGCATGTGCATGCGAGCCAATGTTTCTTATCTCTTTTTCTGCCGCCCGTACTGCTTTCCCCTCCAGGATACCCTCCACTAAGAAAAAAAAAAAAAACTCCTTCTCGCCCCCAGATACACGGCTATGTCCTTGTGCCCAGAACGTACTATGTTCAGCACGCCTCCGTGACGGTCACAAAGTACGTACCTCCGTAGTCTCCGACTTCTCCGCCCATTGCTCGGCGGTTCGGGTTCCCTCTCCTGTCTTCGCGAGAGCTTTCCTCTCCTTCTCCAAGAACTTCGAGTGGTGACGTAACCACAGTCTCTTCATCTTGTCCACCACGAGTTCCCTTCCCAAAGCCTGTCCACGGGACAACGCCGAAATTGTAAAACGATTTCTTTTGTTGGACACAAGATACCCTATGTCATTGGTGAGGAGACTATCGCGGGATGCAACATACATCGCCAAGACAGGCAATGAAAACAAAAGAGGGAAGGAAGGAGGGTTGGGGAGGGCGTCAGATAAACACAAGAGGAGGGCGAAAAAACAATCCACCTTTGATTTTTTTGTCGGTGTACGCTCGTTGTTTTTCCGCCGACTTAATAAAACTGGAGAGCGTTGGTCAAGTTATGGCGAGCGTCGTATCAAGGGCTTGAATGGCAGACCCCAACTCATCCCAATTTCATGCTGCTTGTTTCAGGGTATGCTTACGTCCGGAAATCAGTGTTTGAATCGTGACCTCCGTGGGGGGGCTAATAAACCCAGCAAACATTCCTCGAGCGCCACCAACAACACGCATGAAAACGCCAAAAGTACGCGAAACTCAGACGCTCCTGGTTTTTCGTGTTATTGTGTCTTCGGGAATCGTATTATTGCAAGGCCATTTGTTACGATGTCTATTTTAAGGCTGTCTGTTTTTCAAAAAATGACAACTGGCCAAATGGCCCCGTGTTACAAAGTCTTTTTTTGCTAAAATATGACAACGAAAACATGACAAACCTATTTTGACAGCCCATCACACGGGGCTATTTGGACAATTGTCATTTTTTGAAAAAAAGACAGCCTAAAAAAAGACATTGTAACAAATAGACTAATCCTTCGTGTTTTTGTAATCCTTCGTCAAAAAAGCCACCCCTGACCACTAGGTCGCCCATCGAACCTGCCCCCGCGACACCCCCGCTTTGCCCACCACCTCACTTGCCCGCGGGTGACATCGACCCTGACCGTCTTCTCGCCCCGGTGCGTGGAGATCTTGAGCTTGCTTCTCTTCACGACCTTGTCGGCACACCTTCCCCACGCTTTCCGTAATTGGGCACGTTGCCTTTAGCGCCACGGGTTGACTTCCGTCAACACCATCCAAACGAGTCGCCTCTCCCCCTCGCGCACGCACAACCTGTCGCTTCCATCACCTGTGCAACCCAGGCAACGACGTTCAACGAGGCGCAAAACGATTGTCGTATTGAATCGATTCTGCGACTGGTTCGTGCGCGCTGAAATAAAGGCTTGCCTATTCGCTACACGCTAAGTGAAGCGTTTGCATACACGTGAAGGCCAGCCATACAGCAGTACTACATGACCTTTACGTATTACGAAGTGGTACATAGTACAAGCTGGGCCAGCCAAGAAGTCAACGAAATGGTTAGAAGCGATTTCCGAGCCGGTTTTTACGAATTGGAACCTGAAATTGTGATATGTGATTGGAAACAGTCTTACAAACGCCCCCGAGTCAGATGCCGTTTTTTTTTTTTTGGCGAGGTATCCCCATATTCAATAACTGAGAATCCTAGCATAGGGGTTTTTGCGGCTTTAAAAAAAAAAACGGCATCTCACTCGGGGGCATTTGTAAGACCACTCCTAATCACATCTCAAAATTTCAGGTTCCAATTTGTAAAAACCGGCTCGGAAATAGCAAATTGCGTCATGACCTCGATACCTGGGTGCAGGGGCGGAAATTGTGTAGGAAAATGAAGGCCTTACAGCCCGAGAAAAGGGGCGCGAAAGCGGCCTGATGGCAAGAGGCGCACAGATGCTGACTGTACCCCTTTGGTTGGACAGGTAGGTGTGGGTGCTTATCGATCGTAATGACGTGACACACATACATGCAAGAGGTTGTAATCTGAAGGTAAGCGCTCCAAAAACGCATGACAAATGTTTTGCACAAATCGCACAAAAGTTGACGTTTCTTTGTACATAAAAAAAAACACTTCGTTCGTTGATTGACAGCGGTTAAAAAACACCCGCTTATCTAAAAACAACATTCAAACTGACAGACTCATCAACACACACACACAACTTCTCGCACCGGTTAATCTTACAGAAAAAAATGATGCAAACTACAGCTTGAAACCGACTCATTTAACACACACCCCCACCACACCCGTTTATCTCGCAGAAAAAAAATCCAATGTACAAGTACATGCCACCGACTACAATCTACAACGACAACACACAGCTAGCTCACACAACACCCGCTTCTCTCACAGCATAAAACAAAACCTGCACACACAACTCGAGACCCCCCCCCTCGCCATCGGCCGGCCGACGTTGTTACTGGTCGCCAAGAAAACTAGTTTCCATGTCCAAAATGTTGCGGTGGGCCTTTTGGATCTTGCGCATCTTCTCGATGAACTCCTTGTTCCTGATGACTACCCCGCGAAGCGCAATCTCGCGGTAAGCCCGGCAGTAGTCTCGTGTTCGCCGGGCAAAGCGCCGCACCCGACCGATTGTCAAGTACTTGTCTATGCACAGCGACTTTTCGATGTTGTCGTGCAAGTGCTTCGGGACCTCATCATTGATCTTCCGCCGAAACTTCTGCTTGGAAAACCCCCACGAGTACTCGATCCCTACCCCCGCTACCTCCGGGTGACACTTCGGAGACGACAAAAGAATGTGTCCCCTACTCTCTACCAGGTGCTGCAGGGCTGTCCTCTCATTCTTAAAGTCAGGCAAGGCTTGCAGAACCTTTTCCACGTGCATATCGTCACTGACTCCCGCCCCTGTTGACATGCCGTCCTTCCACCACCCACGCTCCCACAGGTACTGCCTGACCCCTTTCGCTTTCCCCTCGTACCCTTCCTTGACCTTCCCCTTCGCGTTCTTCTTGTCTTTGCGCGGAGCATCCCATTCGAAAAACGGAGGAGGCGCACCTACCGCGAAAGTGCTAGTCTGAGTCTGGCCCACCGTCAGCTTCTGGTCAACACACACTGCCCCCTCGCTGAACTTCGTGCTCCACCTGCCGTTGGCGAAATACATTTTCGCCTCCTCCGGACCCAAGCACTCCTCCGTCATGACCGAATCCCGCAACACCTTTTGCTTCCCCCCATACTTGACGTTCATGTTCGATACATGCAAACCATCCTCTCGCTGCTTCCCATGGCCCGACGAGTGGTCGACCTCGAACACTATTTGCATGTCGGGATCGATGTGCTCCAAGACGTCCATCACGTCTTCGACCTGTTCTTCGAACTGGTCGTAGCCCCAGTACCCATCCTTGCCTTTTCCGTATTCAAGAAACCGGAGTCCAGGGCTTCGCGTCAGGGTTTTTTTGCCGTTCCCCTCCTCATCGCGTTTGGCGTTCACCGCCGCCAGGTCGGCATCCGAAATAGGTAAGCCGAAACCGTGTCTTTCGTCCTGAAAACCAGACACCATTTCCCCCGGCCCCTCCGTCTTTTTCCGCAGTCCGCGCACCCCTCGAATCACCCACTCTTTGCCCTCGCGTGCATACGCCTTGTAGGCACTCTCGTCCTGCCCGATGTGGTGCACCTTCTTGCCGCATCTGCACTTGTTCGGGGGGTGGAAATGCTCGCACTGGGCAGCAGCGGCCTGATCGAAGCGAACGCTGTAGTCCCCACCCTCTGGACCAAGTGCGGCGCGGAGCTTGTCGAAGTTATCGACGGAGCCGTCGTCGCGCAGGAGATCTACGTGGAATTCGATGCAGTCTTGTCCATCGATCTTGCAGTCGTACACCTCTGCGTAGAAATCTCCTTCCGGGCCTCGCGACTTAAGGCTGTCGAGTCGGTCCACCTCCTCCTGCTTGAGAGCGGCTCGTTGCACTCGTACCCACAAGGGTTGACGCAGCGCCATCTTGCGTCTCTTCTCTATGTACTCGCCGCGGTACTCGACTACCTCCTTCTTCTCGTGGGTGTCCGTGTAGAACGACTTGGTGGCCCGCTCGTACCTGCAACCCAACCTTATCATCCACGAGTGCGTCGTGGACATCGAAACCGGAAGGTTCACCTGGTACGCATGGAGCCTGGAAAGATCCTCCTTGTCGTCTTGGAGCAGAGGCCCGTTGATGTACTTGCAGACGTCCTTGATGGTGAAACGCGGTTGTGATATCATCCACGCCAGCAACGCACTCTTCAGATCCTCCTCTGACATGATCCAGTCCGGCTCGTGCGCACCCCGTGCATCCCGCCTGAAACCACCTTCCTTCCGAAAGTCTCTGAGCCACCTCAGGATCGTTGATGGCGCATAAGCCTGCGGACTAGAACCTGCTACCTTTGCCGCCATCCGCAGGAGCGAAGCCTCGTGCCGAACCAACGACGCCTCGTTGAGCAGGTCAAACCGTTCGGCATCGGCTTCCTTCACGGCGGCATCCGTTGCATGCTTGCAGCCGGACAAAACCTCGTTCGCCTTCCGCGTGAGCTCCAGCTGCTTGACGTCGCGCTCCCGCTCCTCTTTCAGCACCTCCAACGATGAGTACGCTTGCTGCCACAACCGGATTATCTGCTTCTCGGCTACTTTTTCCTCCGGCGGTTTTCCCGTGTCCTCGGCCCACGTCCTATCGCCCGCGTTCTCACCGTCCTCCACGGAAGGGAGGGGGAGGGGGAGGAGAAGGCTGGGGAGGTGGCCAGTCCGGAGGGCGTCCTGGAGACGCTTGATGTGTTGCTCGTTGGCTGCAACGTTTGCCGTCAAGTCTTTGATCCGGCCGCCGAGGTAGGCTCCACGTTGATCGAAGGCCTTTCGAAGCTTTCTGTCTCTCCTTCTCCAACCCCGCTCTATCGAGCGTTTTTCGCGGCTGGTGAGCATCTGCTGCATCGCAAATTCCGCGCGGGTCGCGTCGGAGCCAGCCCGCCGCTGTCGCTTGAACTGCCGTTCCTGTGGTCGGCCGATGATCCCGAGGCTGTTGAGCGATTTTCCTGCTTGAGCGGCGGTTGGGAGTTTGAAGCACGAGGCAGTGCGGCACATTGTTATTCGTTGTTTTGCACTACAGCAATACTTGCAGCAAGTATTTCAGAGTTGGAGATCACCCAAGTAGTACGTGATGTGCAGAGGTGCAACAACCGGTCAACCTTTCGCGAAAGTGCGACGAAATCGGCGCATTTTCATGCAGAGTTTAACTTTCAGACCGAAGTACGACACATGATAACACACCCCCTGGGTCGATTTCCACAGCTCGATTACTCCACGACGAAGAGGATGCATGAACAACACGATACGTTTCCGGAGAGCTCTCGACAAGACAGCTTCAACACCGCCGTTTTCGGCGCTGCGACTCGTTCTGCTGGTGATGAATCGAGCTTTCAAAATCCGTCCAGGGGGGTGTGTTATCTTACGTCATATACGGCAGCACATCGTTGCAGCAAACACATCGGGGTGTACAGGTACCATATTGTAGCAAAAAATGTTGTGCGTACTGCTGTAGGCGCCTCTAGTACCAGAACAACAGACGAGTAATGAAGGCAACTCATGTGAACGTGGATATCACGTTGGGCGATTACACTTGTGCGTGCGAAGCATGCCGTCGAAAATTCAAAAATCTCGGCTGACGACCACATCTCCCAAAAAATGTGGTCGTGTACAAATCAACATACGCCACCATCTATTTTATAAGAGTGCCACCTACTTGACGTCCCATAAAGAACATACTCGACGTAATTCCAGCCTGCGGCATGACTGGGCGCGTGCAGTAGGTACAGCAGCAGTCGCTGGCACGGTGTCACGTGTGCTGCCGTTGCTCCGACCCCAGAAAAAACAAAAAAAATCAAAATTGCATGATCATGTCCACATCGTGTTTGTACAAGTGTACAACTGCGCAGTTCACGACTTGCCTGCTGGAAGCGTAGTACCCGCTGCAACAGGTGGGACTAGATTCTCCTTGCTGACCTCGCAGGGCTGACCACGTTGGCTGCCCTCCCAGCTGTACCTGAAGGCAAGGCTGCCACAAAGCGCTTCCTGCTCTGTGTTGCACAAGGGGCCGTACTTCTTCGTTGCCCTGTCTCCTTTCCGGCTTGTGAACATGAGCCGTAGCCGCCACTTCCCCTTAGACCTCTCTGGATAGCATACGGGTTCAGAGGTTCTCTGCCAGCCATTGCGTGTGACTGCTGCTACTAGGCTCTCCATGCTGTGCACTCCTCGGTGCCAGCGGGCCAGCGGGTGCTGTGTGCATCCGTTGTGCACAATTTCAAAAAAAAATGAAATTCCGCCGCAAAAAAAGCGTTTCACACATTGTTTTCCCTATTCTTAAACCCAGATAAAATGCGGAGGGTTATCTTTTTTGGAGAGAATGTGTTCAACACGATTTCGAGAGGCATGGGCAAATCCGCTGTGATTGGCTGATTGAGCAGATGTGCCGAGCTCGTTCCAATTCTGATTCCTTCAAAATTTATGGCTGGAAGACTGAATGTTAGCTTCTTGGCTGGCCCAGCTTGTAGTGCCTCGGTTCCCCAAAATATCTCGACTATCGTATTGAATTGCAAATACTCTCAATACTCGGTGTGGGAGGTTTTTATGATCTGTGCTGAGCTCAGGCTGTGGGAGGTCCTCAACTACACCTCGACCTACATAGCTTCAAACTACTGCCGTGATCGTGCTATCGTCGTCCACTGCTGTAGGTAAAAAAGTACGCGGCATCCGGCAGGTAGGCTCCGCCGCGGTGCCGTACTGCTGTGGGTTGTCAGAAAAAAAAGACAGAGAAACCATTATGAAATTCTCACGGAACACATAACTTCTCCCTTCTTCCCCTCGCTCCTCGACAAGCTTTTGCTTAGACATGGGTTGTAG